GCTCCGGCTGTCCCGCTGCCAAGCTAAGGGCAGCAGCTGAGCTCAAATCGCAGCTGAAGCCAAGAGACCTTGGCACCTCGCCAGGCCGGGCCAGGGACTCCCAGCAGGGCCTGGGAGGGGGGCAGGAAAGGGCCAAAGACGAATAGGAAACAGCCCCCCCAAACCCCCCGCAAAGGGGACTCCCGCCTGGTGCAGAGTGGGAAGAAGGACCCTGCGCCCAGTCCTGTGGCCCCCCCCGGCCAGGGCCCACAGGGGGCAGGTCGGGGAGTGTCCGGAGCGCACGGCGCTGTGTCTATTCTCTGCCCCCCAGGGCCCACAGGGGGCAGGTCGGGGAGTGTCCGGAGCGCACGGCGCTGTGTCTATTCTCTGCCCCCCAGGGCCCACAGGGGGCAGGTCGGGGAGTGTCCGGAGCGCACGGCGCTGTGTCTATTCTCTGCCCCCCAGGGCCCACAGGGGGCAGGTCGGGGAGTGTCCGGAGCGCACGGCGCTGTGTCTATTCTCTGCCCCCCAGGGCCCACAGGGGGCAGGTCGGGGAGTGTCCGGAGCGCACGGCGCTGTGTCTATTCTCTGCCCCCCAGGGCCCACAGGGGGCAGGTCGGGGAGTGTCCGGAGCGCACGGCGCTGTGTCTATTCTCTGCCCCCCAGGGCCCACAGGGGGCAGGTCGGGGAGTGTCCGGAGCGCACGGCGCTGTGTCTATTCTCTGCCCCCCAGGGCCCACAGGGGGCAGGTCGGGGAGTGTCCGGAGCGCACGGCGCTGTGTCTATTCTCTGCCCCCCAGGGCCCACAGGGGGCAGGTCGGGGAGTGTCCGGAGCGCACGGCGCTGTGTCTATTCTCTGCCCCCCAGGGCCCACAGGGGGCAGGTCGGGGAGTGTCCGGAGCGCACGGCGCTGTGTCTATTCTCTGCCCCCCAGGGCCCACAGGGGGCAGGTCGGGGAGTGTCCGGAGCGCACGGCGCTGTGTCTATTCTCTGCCCCCCAGGGCCCACAGGGGGCAGGTCGGGGAGTGTCCGGAGCGCACGGCGCTGTGTCTATTCTCTGCCCCCCAGGGCCCACAGGGGGCAGGTCGGGGAGTGTCCGGAGCGCACGGCGCTGTGTCTATTCTCTGCCCCCCAGGGCCCACAGGGGGCAGGTCGGGGAGTGTCCGGAGCGCACGGCGCTGTGTCTATTCTCTGCCCCCCAGGGCCCACAGGGGGCAGGTCGGGGAGTGTCCGGAGCGCACGGCGCTGTGTCTATTCTCTGCCCCCCAGGGCCCACAGGGGGCAGGTCGGGGAGTGTCCGGAGCGCACGGCGCTGTGTCTATTCTCTGCCCCCCAGGGCCCACAGGGGGCAGGTCGGGGAGTGTCCGGAGCGCACGGCGCTGTGTCTATTCTCTGCCCCCCAGGGCCCACAGGGGGCAGGTCGGGGAGTGTCCGGAGCACCTCTCTGAGCTGATCTCCCCACCCTCTCCCTTGGCCGGGGATGGAGCATGTGGCGTATCCACGCTGGGAGACACAGGAAGCGCCCGACCGTGGCGGCGAAGGGCCCACGTGGCCCCGGACAGCTGTGCTCCAGGCCATGCTCTGCTGCACGGGGAAGTGAAAGCATCTCTAGGTCTTTCCAGTGGCGGCTCCGCCCTTGGCCCCGCAGTGTCTCTCTCCGGCACCGGCCGCCTCGCACGAGCCGGGTAAGCTGGGGGTCATGAACCAAACTCTCCAAGCCCAGATCCCTCCAGGATACAGACCCCAGCATCCTCCTCCCGGCGCCTCCCCTTTCCTCCCCCTGGGGAGGGAACCAAGCCCAGAGGTGGGCTGTGCCGTTTCCCCCCCATTCCCCTCCGGGGCGTTTGGCCCCACCTGCCTGGGCACCGGGGCCGCCCCGGGGGGTTTGGTGGCAGCGCCGTGTCAGCAGTCCTGTGCTTGCCTTGCAGGGACGATGGTGCGTGGGGCCCTGCTGGCGTTGCTGTGGCTGGCCGGAGTGGAGCTGCTCCTGGAGGTGCCTGGGGAGCGAATCGGGTAGGTGCTATGGGCTGCGACTCCTCCTTTGCCCTGGTGCCCGCCGGCGCGGGGGGCAGAGAGGGGTCCAGGGCTCCTGTTCTATTCCTAGGGCCCAACTGAGACCTAGAGGCTGCGGATCCCCACCCCCAGCGGGCTTAATGTGGGGCCACCCGGGAGACAGACCCCTAGATTACAGCGCCTGCAAGCACATTGCAGAACGTCCCCTAGCTAGGGACTCTCCTGGCTTGGCCAAGGGGTGGGTTTGCATTGGTGACCATGCGGAGCGCAAGCTGTGTTGAAGAAACACCGATGTGGGAGCTGGGGGATTCCCCACGCCCCTTACCTCTGGCTGGCGAAAGGGCCCTGATCCCCACGTAGGAGGTGGGTTGGGGCCGAGGCTGGAGTGCACTGCACTGTGGCTATCCTCTGCCCCCGAGGGGCGGATCGGGGGGATGGCTGGAGGGCCCCATACGGTTTCAATTCTCCGCTCCCAAAGGGACTGGGCAGCTCTGGCAGGGCCAAGAATGGGGGAGGGGGCACAGCAGGGACATAGAGCCACGTCCCATCGTGTCCCTGCCCTGAGCGCAGGACGGGAGTGACTCTGGATCCATCTCCGTGTTTTCCACTTCTGTCCGGGCTCACCAATTGTGCAGCCCCTTGTCGCCGCAGCCCTCTCGGCCCCTCGCAGCCGTCGGTGCGTCTGCCCCCCGTGAGGCAGGTACGGAGGGGAAACTGAGGCACGGGGCCATTAAGTGACTCGCCCAAGGGCAGGGAGCCAATAGGGAGCTGTGGAATACACCCAAGGGCTCCCACCACTGGGCCAGCTTTCCGTTCCGAGCCCGCCAGCCCTGCAAAAGCTCTGCCTCGCCTCTCTAGGGCTTGCAGATGGAAGTGCATGAAGTTTGTCCAGATGTGGCCGGGATCGTTCTGTGTGGTGAGCACCCACCGCCCCCCTCCCCATCCCGCAGC